ATAGGCTTACATACACAAGACACTCAAACCTCTGATCCTGACATGTGCAATCTTTTTAACTGGATTAAAGTGGCAAAAATACTACATGGAACTCTTTCTGTTATGTGGCACCAGCTGATGGATGGATATCAGCACTTAATTTATCTTTCTGGCCTTTTTTTCTCGTTTTAAGATGAACTGCTCAGTTATGTTGGAAATAACCTCATGTCTTCATTGCTGTTAAAATATTTGTAATATTGTCGCTGCGGGAAACTGAAACAAACTGCTCCTCTAATCGAAACCCTCAAGTGTGAATTCTCAGTGTAAAGTCATTGTTTTGCAGAACTTACCATGTTGTTGTGTTTTTGTTTGTTTGTTTTTAGTTGAATTTTAATTTGTCAATGTTCTACGTGTTTTCAGCTCCAGTACTCTTAGACATGACCCTTCTTGGTTTGTGGCCTTCCTCTAAACGCTTAAGTGCCAACAAATATTTTCTACATGAAACAAAATTTGTTTTGCCAATATGTAAAATGGAAAAAAATAAAGAGTACAACTGTTGCAAAAAGAAAAAAAAAGTTTCCCGACTGCGTTTCATTTGACTGTTTTTAGCATATTTGTTTCATTCAGTGAACCACGGGGCTCTTGGTTGGTCTCTGCCGACCTTTGTTAAAGCTTTAAATGGCAGTTCCACATCAGTTTAGGATCACCTTGTCTCCTGCACCTGTTAAGCTGGGGAAACAGGCGTGACAAGAGCAGCTAATAAGACAGGCTGAGTGGGATTTTTCAACTCTGTTGGCTCGGATCAAGTACCAGCAACAGGTGGCATTAGCGACGCTTAACAGCTGAGGAGGCCACAGGGTCCCGGGTGACGCCACGCTCTCCGTAAAGCCTCCAGCCAATCACAAACAACTTGGAAAGAGCCAACAGGCTTTATTGTGGCCGCAAAGCATTTAGAGATTAAAGGACCAGCTTTCCTTGAGCACACACACAAACACACACAGGCAAAAGTATATAGCTCCAACTTTTGCATCCAATGTGAGCAATAATCTGATAAAAAAATATAAAAGTAACAAAAAGGTATTTACAGACCTGAGTGGCTCTAAAAACAACAACAAAAAGAAAAGTTTTCATCAGAGTTCATGCTCAATAATCCAGGTAAAATATCCAACAAAGTTCAGTCAGGTCATCTGGACAGTTTCTTTTTTTGTGTTGAGATGTTTTGTCCGTCATCCAAAGGTTTTCATCAGTCCGAGGAGCCACAACGAACGCAGTTCCACAAGCAGCACACTCACATAGTGGACCAACCAGTTTGCTAAGAAGTTAAAGTTTCTGAGGCCTGCCCTCTCCCCCGTCGACTCCTCTGAGGCAGCCATAGTCAATGTGGTGGGCCACAGAAACCATCTTAGCACCAGCAAACTGGTTGGTCCACTATGTGTGTTCTGCTTGTGGGACTGAGCTTGTGGCTCCTCAGACTGATGAAGTCCTTTGGATGAAGGATGAAATGTCTCAACAACAAAACAAAAGGAAAAGTCCAAATGATCTGGCTGAACCTTGTTGAATTTTTCTACCTGGATTATCGAGCATGAACTTTGCTGTTTTGAACCACTTTGGCTATGGCTGCCTCAGAAGAGTCGATGGGGGAGGTGGGCCCCAGAAATGATCTTATCACCAGCAAACTGGTTAGTCCACTATGTGAGTGTGCTGCTTGTGGGACTGAGTTCGTTGTAGCTTCTCGGACTGATGAAAACATTTGGATGAAAGATGAAATGTCTCAACAACAACAACAACAAAAATAAACTATCCAGATGACCTGGCTGAACTTTGATGGACTTTCTACCTGGATTATTGAGCATGAACTTTGGTGTTTTGAACCACTTTGGCTATGGCTATCCCAGAGGAGTTGACGGGGGAGTCGGCGGGCCCCAGAAATCATCTTGGCAAACTGGTTGGTCCACTATGTGAGTGTGCTGCTTGTGGGACTGAGTTTGTTGTGGCTCCTCGGGCTGATGAAAACCTTTGGATGAAAGACGAAATGTCTCAACAACAACAACAAAAAAAAAAGAAACTGTCCAGATGACCTGAATAATTTTGTTTTTATAGAATAAATTAAAAATAATTCATGGCCCCCTTGTCTGTAACGTACTGGCATAATATAAGTTTTTTTCTGTGGTGAAAGAAAGCAGAATTTCCAGCCAGGATATCCTTTAGATTTCAATCGATGGTATGATCAAGCGGGTGGCATTGTGGTTGGTAGAGTTGCCGCCTCTCAACAAGAAGGTTACCGGATTGAATCCTGGCAGGGAACCTTTCTGGGTGGAGTTTGCATGTTCTCTCTGTGCATGCGTGGGTTTTCTCCAGGTACTCCAGTTTCCTCCCACAGACCAAAAACATGCATGTTAGGCTGATTGGTAACTCTAAAATGTCTCTAGGTGTGAGTGAGAGAGTGAATAGTTGTTTGTCTTGTTTGTCTCTGTGTGTCCCTGTGATGAACTGGAGACTTGTCCATGGTGTCCCCCACCTCTCGCACAGTGATGACTGGACATGGGCACCAGTGACCCCTGTGACCAGAAAAGGAAGAAGCGGGTAAAGATAGGTTCAAGGTTCAAGGTGACTTTATTGTCAAATCATGTGGTACATGATTTGGAATGAAACTGTGTACTCAAGGTCCCAGTTACACCCCAAAATAGCAAAAAGTACAAAAAAGAAACAATAGACAAGGATCTAAGATATAAACAACAATAATGTAATACTAGAGAAATTGCATTTCCTACGAAAATGCAAGTGTGAATGCCTTTTGCTCAATAATTATCTTAAAACAGCTGAATAGTAGCTAAAGAAGCATAAAAAATTTAAATTAAAATTAACATAAGAACGCAGAAAGAACAAGTTTGCCCAATTAGGCTGAAAGAAGAAAATTGAGCGCAAAAAGTTGAAAAAAGCTGAAATTGGACAAAAACAGCTAAATAGTAGCTAAACTAAGCAGAAAGAAGCTAAAGTTACTAGAACGAAGTGGGTAGAGCATGATTTTGCTGAATTAGGCTGAAAAAAGTTGGATTGATTTTTTAAAAATGTGGAATTAGCTGAAAAAGCTGAAATTAGCATAAAAACAGCTAAATAGTAGATGAAATAGCAGAAATATCTGAATCTTCCAAAAATTAGCTGAAAGGAGCATAACAAGCTGAAATTAGCAGAAATAAGTTAGAAGAAGTACAAAAATGTTGAAGTAAGCTGAATAAAGCTGAAAAGAGCACAAAACTGCTGAAAAAACAGCTGAAATTAGCTGAACTAGCTGAATTTGTTGATTTTCATTCAACATCTATTAGGGATCATTATCATAGTACCAATATGCCAAGTTTCATCTGAATAGCTATAAAAATGGCAGAGTTATCCTAGTTTTTCTATAAAACAGCTGAATAGTAGCCAAAGAAATGCAGAAAGAAGCTTAAATTTCCAAAAGGAAGAGGAGGAAGCTTAAGTGTGCCGACTAAGGCTGAAAGAGGCAAAAATTAGCACTATAAAGTTGAAATTATTTGCGAAAAGCTGGAATTAGCTAAACACAGCTAAAACAAGCAGAAAGAAGCTTCAGTTACTAGTAGGATGTCGGAGGAACAGGTTTTTGCTGAATTAGGCGGACAAAAGTTTAAATGATTGCAAAAAATGTGGAATTAGCTGATAAACATGAAATTAGCATGAAAACAGCTAAATGCTAGCAGAAATAGCTGAAACATCCAGAAATAAGCTTAAAGTAGCAGAACAAGCATAAATTAGCATAATAAGTTTGAAGAAGCACAAAAATGTTGATTTTAGTAGAATGAAGCAGAAAGGACCACAAACAGCTGAAAAACAGCTGAAATTAGCTGAACTAGCTGAATTTTGTTTAAAATTTTGTGCAAGGAAGCTGAACGAACCTTAACCAGGTCTAAATGTGAAAGTAGTAGTACCTGGTTATAAACAAATCAAAAGTTATGAAGGATGTAAAATGAGCTCCATTCATTTCCAATGAGAGCAAAAATGCCAGAAAAGGCTAAATATCTCAAAAGGCTAAAGTTGCACCAATACCAAAAGTCATAGCAGACATGTCCTGAAACAGCTGAATGTTTTGATGCATGATTTGTTGAAATAGCACAAAAACTGTGGAAGTAGTTCGATGCCAAAAAAGTACGGAAGAAAAAGTGAATCACTATAAATGTTTTAGGCACATTTAGGCATTCACACAATTATACTGTGTACTGTAACGTAATAGTATACGGTGTACTGTAATGTAATAGTATACGGTGTACAAAGTATAATGGATGGATGGTTTGATCAAGCGCTCAGATTTGGAGTTGTACTCAGTGGGTACTTTTTGGGACACCCTTGTGTTTCCCAGCAGACCTAGATTTATGTTGATTCAAAGCCTTCAGCACTGAAAGTGTCAACAGGTGAAAACTGCCGCTTTAAAGAAAAGTGACTTCCTGTTCTCAGAAATGGATCAACTCTTTTTTTTTAAAGTCCTGCAGTAGTTTTTTTTTTTTTTATTCTTAAAGTTTGATGTACATTTAAAAAGATTGTTCAGCTGTCAAATAGAACTTAAATGGAATATTTTTGTACCCAGTGTTACACGACTCTTCCAGCACTGTTGCCTAGAAGTCATGAATAAATGTGGGTAGATAAGCACCAGCAGATGGTGATTCTTTCACAGCAGGCCTAAAAAACACTCCCCGTTTAAACACGAGCTGCACTTCAGCCATCAGATCTCATTAGTCCATGTGAGTGTCATCCTGAACACTGACTCAATAATAGATCATCTACAGCATGAGGCCTCCAGATGAACACCGGTGGCAAAAACATCACTTAACCCAGAGGCTTAAATGCACCTTTATTTGTGATAAACGCCACAGATCTGGTAAAGCAGATTATTTATAGATTGCACATTAAGGAACCAATCGAAAGAGATACAAGTGAACGCTGTATGTATTTTCTTGTGCCACAGCAGTGCAGCAGCAGCCAGACAGAGAGCAGAGCAAGAAGCAGTGTGGTGGTCAGGAGAGGTACTGGGTCCCTTGCTGGGACATGAGCGGCTCTTTCTCTCCCATCATCTCCACGGTGGAAACGTTCAAAAGGACTTTGTTTTGAGCCTCAGAGTGTCGGCCCTTCAGGAACAAGGTGTTACAGGAAGCAGCAACCTGCAACATGACATCAGTCACACAGATACAGCACCTGTCAGTGATATTTACAATAACAGAAGCTTCATCAAAAATATAACTCCACACGGAATAAAAAGTACACTCAAGATTATGTTGTTTTGTTGTTGCTAAAGTTCTTTATCACAACCTTTGTTAACAAAAAATGTGAAGGAAGATAATTAATAAGTAAACTATAGTTATGTACTTTTTACTCTGCTACAATTACTGCAGGGATTTACAGAAACTTTTGAAATGGCAGAAGCTCCAAATTTACAAAGGGCACCATCCATCCATCCATCCATCCATCCATCCATCCATCCACCCATCCATCCATCCACCCATCCACCCATCCATCCATCTATCCATCCATCCATCCATCCATCCATCCATCCACCCACCCATCCATCCATCCATCCATCATCCATCCATCCACCCA